CTAGATTGATCTTATATAAGTTGTACTCTGTCTAGAGCTATAGTGACATGAAAGGAGGTCATGGAGATCCAAAGGAATTATGAGAAAGATTAAAGACTTAAACAGCAGAAAAGTTGTTTCCCGGCTGGAGTGAGTGCCATGGCGTCAGCCTGGCTCACAGCAACCTCAAACTCCTGGGCTCAAGCAATCCTGTTGCCTCAGCCTCCCAAGTAGCTGGGACTACAGGCATGTGCCACCATGGCCGGCTAATTTTTTCTATATATATTAGTTGGCCAATTAATTTCTTCCTATTTATAGTAGAGACGGGGTCTCGCTCTTGCTCAGGCTGGGTTTTTTTTTTTTTTTTATGGCTTATGATGTTTTTATTTCTTCTACATTTTTCTAGAGTAGACAAAGTGTTGTCCCACTTTTTGTTTACTACATTTTCTTTTTTTTGAAAATGATAATAAAAACATGTTTTAATCTATTACAATATATTCAAACAATAAAATAAACATATCCAACACCCTTCACAAACACTAGATATAGATTCTAAAGACAGCAAAATGTTTAACAAAAAATTGTGTTTTCTCATTTTAGTATATTCATCTAAATGACAGTATAACTTTTGCTATAGACGTTACTTATCTCAAATATTTTAAGATAGATTGTATTTCCTTTACAGAACGTTTTTTAAGTGTTGAAACTAAAAATACCACAGGAATTAGTGGTCCTTTAGAATTATAATTTCCCCAGAGTCCTTTTGATTTCCTAAGTACTTGTGAACTGTTATGTTTTTTTTTTTCGGCATATTATGGGGGTACAAATTTTAAGGTTTCAATAAATGCCCATTTCCCCCCTCCCCACACAAGTCTGAGTCTCCAGCATGACCATCTCCCAGATGGTGCACATCTCACTCATTATATTATATATCTCCCCCCCCCCTGCCCAATACCCTATTACTGCAGTACCTATGTGACCACTTAGGTGCTACTCCAGTTAATACCAATTTGCTGGTGAGTATATGTGGTGCTTGTTTTCCATTCTTGGAAACTCACTTAATAGTATGGGTTCCAGCTCTAACCAGGAAAATATAAGATGTGCTATATCACCATTGTTTCTTAGAGCTGAATAGTACTCTATGGTATACATATACCCACATTTATTAATCCATTCTTGGATTGATGGCACTTGGGCTGTTTCCACAGCCTTGAAATTATGAATTGTGCTGCTATAAACATTGAGTGCAGGTGTCTTTTTTGTAGAGTGTCATTGGATCTTTTGGATAGATGCCCAGCAATGGGATTGCTGGATCAAATGGTAGATTCACTTGTATCGCTTTAGGTATCTCATATTGCTTTGACAGAGGTTGAACTAATTTGCAGTCCCACCAGCAGTGTAGGAGTATAGAATTTTTAATTCCATCTTGATTCTTCATTTATGAAGTAATCATTTAGTAGGAGGTTGTTTAATTTCCATGTTTTTGTGTAGAAATGTGAGTTTCGTTACGGTTGATTTTTACTTTTATTCCACTGTGATCTGAGAAGATACATGGTATGATTCTATTTTATAAATTTCTTGAGGTTACTTTGTGTCAGGATATGGTCATCTTAGAGATGTCCGCGTGAGCTGATGAGAAGAACGTATAGTCAGTGGATTTGGTAGAATGTTCTGTAAATGTCAGTCAGACCCAATTGTCTAGAGTTTGTTTAAGTCCATTATTTCTTTATCATTTTCTGTTTGGAGGATCTGTCTGTGCCGTCAGTGGGGTGTTGAATCTCCGGTGATTATGGAGTTGCTATTAATCCATTTGCTTAGTCCAGTAAAGTTTGCTTATGAATCTGGGTGCACCTAAGTTGAGTGCATATATATTTAAAATTGTTATTCTTTTCTGTGAACTGTGCCCTTCACCATTATAATGACCTCTTTGTCTTTCACTACTGTTTGTGTTTAAAAACTAAATCGTCTGAAAGTAGAACTGCCACACCAGCCTTCTTTTGGCTTCCACTTGCTGGAATACTGATCTCCACCCTTTTACTTTTAGTCTATATGCATCCTTGCAGGTTAGATGTGTTTCCTGAAGACAGCATATACTTGGCCTGTATTTTCTTATCCATTCAGCCAACCTATTATTCTTGAGTGGAGTTTAAGCCATTCACATTATTGAGAGAACTGATAGGTAAGGTAAATTACTGTTCATTCTGTTGGGTTGGATGTTGTTGCTTTGATTTCTCTCTTGAGCCATTGTACTATCTGCCTTTAATCTTTGGGTTTTGTTGTTTTTATATCCGTAAGTTTTTATTATGGTTTTCCGTGCGTAACACTGTTTTGAGTACTTCTTGTAGGGCTGGTCTTGTCTTGGTGAATTCTCTGAGACTTTGCTTGTCTGAGAATGTCTTATTTCTCCTTCATAATATGAAGCTTAGTTTTGCAGGGAAAAAGATCTAGGGTGGGGCATTGTTTTGTTTCAGAAGAGTAGAATGGGGCCCAGTCTCTCCTTGCTTATAAAGTCCATTAGAGAAATCTGTGTGTATTCGAATTGGCTTTCCTTGTATGTCACTTGCTTCTTTTGTCTTACAGCTCTTAGAAGGGCCTCTTTATTTGATATTTTGGCAAGTCTGATGACTGCATGTCGTGACGTCTCTGTTTGCATTGAATCTCCCAGGGTCCTCTGAGCTTCTTGAACTTATATATCGAGATTTTGAGCAAGGCCTGGGAAATTTTCCTCTATTATATCTTCAAATAGCTTGTCCAACCCTTAGTTGTTGTCCTCTTCCCTTCTGGTAACCCTATGACCCTCACATTAGGTTTCTTCACATAATCCCACAGCTCTTGTAGGCTGTGCTCTTTTCTCTTGTTTCTCTGCTCTATCTCTGTGATGGTTATTAGTTGGAGGGTGTTCTCTTCAATCTCTTGAGATTATTTCTTCTGTTTGATCTACCCTGTTCTTGAGACTTCCACTGTATTTTGTAGTCCCTGAATTGATTCTTCATTTTCTAGGAGTTCGGTTAAACTTTTCTTCATTGTGTCCATTTTTTCCAGATCCTGAGGCTTTTTGTGGTTCTTTGTGTTGGTTATTGAGTTGTTGTTGCAGCTCGTGAGTGTTCTTATGATCCACATACGAATTCCTCTTCTGTCATTTTGGTTGCCTGATTTGGGTTGGTGTCCGTTTCTAGGGGGCTGGTGCTCCTCTTTGGGGGTGTTTTCCGTTTGTTCTTCATATTCCTGAGTTCCTTCGCTGATTCTTCCCATGTCGACAGTTGTTGTTTCTTTCCTAAGGTTATTGTTTGGGTATTCACAACCTTGTTTAGTTTCTGAGGCGTTAGGTGGTGTCTGTGGTGAGATTGGACCACTCCCTGTGTATTAGTCAGTGGTGCCGTGAAAGGCTGTGCAAGATGCCGTCCTGTCAGTAGGTGGCGTTTGCTTGGAGGAACAGGCTATGCTGTTGATTTTGTGTCCTGTTTCAGCTCTTGTTATGGGGAGCTGAGTTGGGTAAGCCTGCCCTCAGGCAGTTAGCAGGGGTCAAAGTTCTGTTCTCTGCTTCCACCTTCCAGGAAAAGCTGTCAGGGCAGGGCTGGAATGGTCCCGCTCAGCCAGAAAGTCTGCTTGTGGGGGTGAGGCTGTCTGAGACCCGCAGTCTGGAGCAGGCCTCGCTTCTTTCCACCCTCCCCAACTCCGCAGCTACTCCTGGGTCTCTGCCAGCAGGCCAGACCACACGCCACCAGTCCTCCCCGGATTGTGATGCCGGCGGGGAGGTTCCCTGCGCAGAAACACTGCCTGGGCTGGGGCCACAGCCTCCCTTTGTGGGAGGGTTGCCCTCTAGGACGCTGATGCCCCTGGAGCACACACACCTCAGCGGGCTGTTCAAATATCCCTTCTGTGCCCGGGGAATGCTAGACCTCGGTGCCCGGGATCTGGTCTGCAGGTCCGACCTCTGGGTCCAGAGTTCAAACTGTATCCCCACCAGGAGAGGAGTTCCGGTCCCAATTCACCCACAGGGAGCCCAAGCTGTGTCTGTGTCCTCAGCCTCTGAGTCGGCACCGTTCTCCTGGGAACACTGTGCTAGCAGCACCTGGGAGGGCTGGCGGGTAGGGCGCTCACAGTCTGAGTTCCCCTTAGTCAGCTGTAGGGTCCCAAAAGGGAAGGTCCGTTCCCTGGAGGTGCCTCCGGCTGGTGGCTGTATTGTCTCTCTGGGCAGCCGTAGGTAGGTCGGCGGAGGGAGGAGGCAATAGGCGCCTGCCGGAGGCTCGGGTCGTGCACACGGAGGTGCCCGAGGGAATTTGGAGTCTGGTGCCGTGTCGCTACAGGCTCACCGCTAGCTGGGGGCCGTCTCTGGCTGTGTCCGCAGGTCTCTCCACCCGCTGGGAAGCCCACCAGCAGTCCCAAATGCAGGGGAGGGGAAAGGTGATTTATCCACCTACCCTTCCCGCTGGTCTCCGGGCTGCTCCGGCGCTCTCAGCCTCCAGTTCTCCTCCGCAGCCTCCTCCCGTGGAGTCTCCCGGGGTCTCAGGTAACCCTCCTTCTGGCCCTCGTCTGCTGTACTCGCCTTCCTTGCTTCTTTTCTAATTCTGCTAGAATCTGTCTTTTCTGCAGAGACACTCTTTCTGGCGGTGTTTCTCGTCCGCCATCTTGATCCTGACTCCTCAGGCTGGTTTTGAACTCCTGACCTCGAGCAATCCACCCACCTCGCCTCCCAGAGTGCTAGGATTACAGGCGTGAGCCACCGCGCCCAGCCAGTAAAACCCATTTTAAATAATGGAGAGCTGGATGTGGTGATACATGCCTGTAGTCCCAGCTACTCAGGACGCTGTGGTGGGAGGAATGCTTGAGTCCAAGAGTTTGAGTCCAGACTGGGCAAAATAGTGAGACCCTGTCTCTTATAAAAAAAAAAAAAAGTAGAGAATAGAAGCAATGGTCATTGGGTGACAAGTAGTAAACTTATGTGTAAGAGGAGAGTTATACTAATAGAGTTTTTCAGTTTGAACTATTATCTACAAAGACTTCGTTTGTTTTCTCTTTAGGGGTAAGCTGTGTGTGATTGATTGGAAGACATCAGAGAAACCAAAACCTTTTATCCGAAATACATTTGACAACCCACTGCAAGTTGTGGCATACATGGGTGCCATGAACCATGATGCCAACTACAGCTTTCAGGTCAGGACACTGAGCCTCTACTTACTTAAAGCTTTGCTCAGTGCTTAAAGCTACTTAAGTTCTTGGGGGTTTCACTCTATT